TTTTTTTTTTGTATTTTTAGGAAAGGGTCTACAGGGTGTTCAGGGTCTCACTACTAGTTCCGACTTGTAGTGATTCGCCTGTTTACAGCCTCCCAAGAGCTGGGATTACAGGTGCGCCACCACACCCATTCTTAATTGTGGTCTCAGTGCACCCTGGGGGTGGAGCTGGCAAAGCAGGCTCAAGGATTGAACCTCCAGCCCCTTTGGCTGCTTGCAGGCTCTTCAGTCACTAAGCTATTCGGCAGGTCCTCTGTAAATCATGTTTCAACAAACATCTAAGTGCTAATATGTCTACAAGATGTGAATTTCAGTTATTTTGAGTAAATATGTAAAAGTAGTACTGTTGAATTACATGGTAGTCCAGTTTTAATTCTGAAGAATCTAATATATTTTACATAGTGTCTATTCCAGTTTGCATTCTTACATGAGTGCAAAGGGATGTCCAAAGCTTCTTCTGTGTTCACATCCTATCCCAGACTTCCTGTGTATTTTTCACTACTAGTCATCCTGATAGCGTAAGGTGATGTGTAATTACAGTTTTGATTATGGAGGTTGGACATTCTTTTCACATTGCTGTTGGTTTCCTGTACATGAATATTTTTTCCAAATATTTACACATACTTTCCTTACCTCCTGCAGACATTACACTCTCAGTGAGGCTGCCCTGGTCACTTTATTTAAACCTGCAATTGAATTACCTCTAATATCTTCTATCATATTTCTTTGCTTTTAATATAAAATTGATCACATAGCATGCTTTATATTTTACTTGTGATTTGTTTATACTTTGATTTTCCTTACTAGATTTCATGGTAAAGGAGATTTTTTTTTTTAACTATTGTGTTTTCATGATGGTGATGCACACAAGGCAGGCTCCAGACAAATATTTGCTAAGGGAATGAATGAACATAAAAGTAGTCTGTTGTGCAGAAGCTGTAAGAAATTTCAAAAGGAAATTGAACACAATGGAATTTGGTACAAGGGTTACTTCCAGCAGAAGGTAATAAATCTGTGATAAAAAAGACCAAACTACTACAAACTATGTTTCACCAATCAAGACACTGTGTTTAAACTGTAATTTTTCTTACAACTGCTATGTTGGTCCTGATCTGAAATTAAAATGAAGAACCAAGTAAAGGAGCCTGAAAGTCACTCATTCATATATTCAGGACTCCTCAGAAGACTGGGCAGAGGGCATGGCTCCAGGGATGTATTGCTGAAAGAATCTAGACTCTGCCCTTACTGACCCTTCGTGCACTAGAGAAACACACATTAAAACAGTCCATCCAGTACTTTCACAATGTGAGTGCTGTACAAGCAAACTTCTGGGCGAGAAAAGAGGGGCCAGTGGGTTGACCTGCCTGTAAGGGTTTGAGCAGCCTTTACAAAGGAAGTTAAATTTTATCTGAAGTTTTCTTCAAGACATGTTCAGTTACTAGTAATAGAAAACTCAATTAGGCTGAAGCAATTAAGGGGATTTATTGGTTTACATAACTAAAAACACCCAAAGGTGGAATGGATGTCACAGTTAAGGGAGGAAGGTCCATGCCTACCGTCAAATGAAATATGTCTACCTTATAAGATTATCATTTTTTTGACTAGTAAATAAAAGTATATGAGTCAATCTGATAGCCCACATAAAGCCCCAGCTTGCTCTTTTGGTAGTTATTGTAGCAAGGAAACGTCACAGGCTAATTGACACGCATCTGACTTTTTCACTACCCTGTATCCACGTCTTGAACAAACAGTAAAGAACTGTGTTCTTCAGTGTGTACAGTGGATTTCCATCTCTCTCTTTCTCTCTTTTTTTAAGGGTCAGAATAACTTTATTCCCTTTGGAGAGTGGCCAGGTGATGCTAGAACTTCTGGAACTGCTTCTTGGTTCCTGAACTCTTGGTGACCTTAAGCACATTGAAGCACACTGTCTTGCTCAGGGACCTGCACTCATACTCTGTGACAATGTCACTGATCTGGACATCCCTGGAGCAGGGGAACAGGTGTACCGACAAGTTCCTGTGGCGCTTCTCAAAGCAATTGTACTTGAGGATATAGTAGAGATAGTCTTGGCAAGTGACAGTGGTCCTCTGAATCTTCATCTTGGTCACCATACCAGATAGGATCCGACCCTGGGTGAAGATGTTAGTACTAAAGGGAAATTTATTATCAATATAGGTGCCCTCGATGGCCTTGTTCGGGGTCTTGAAGCCCAGACCAATGTTTTTGTAGTACCAAGGGAGCTTCTCCATGCCAGTTTCTTCCAGAAGGACCCTCTTGTTGTTTTGGAAGACATTTGGCTTCTTCTGGTAGGTGGGCTCTGTCTGAATATCTGCCATCTTCCCAGTGGGCTGAAAAAGAGAGACCAGAGTTCCATCTCTGAAGTAGTGTAATGTGCTCAGCTGTGGGAAACCCTGAAGCAAGTGCACAAAAGGTAATTGAGCAGAGGAAAACTTGCCTGAGTAGCAACTTCAACATGTTCTTCAGTCCAAAGGTTGGATTAGAACTTTCTAAGAAGATGATGAAGAAAAGTAGTGTTAAGTGTAGCAGGATATCTTATGAAGACAATATGGAGATATAAAATAGCTTGTGCTTTGGTTGGGAAGTTGTGCTGGGCAGGAGGGGAGAGGAGGGAATGTAAAATAAAAATGTGTGTTATGTATGTGTGCCAACTCCCCACAGTGATGTGAGTCATTATTAACTGCAAACCTTTACTAATAAAAATGAAAAATTTAGAAAAGAATTCTGAATTCACTGAGTGAAAAGAGCCCAAATGGACAATATATTTAAAAAAAAAAAAAAACCTCAAATTAGGGCTGTACCAGATTAAATTGGCTATAAGGAAGTAGGATGAGTCTGAAAATAACATAAAGCCTAAAGTCTTATTCAATCAAACTAACATGAAAACAATTGATTACCTATAATCATCAAGGTATGGAAGTGATTCACATGAGCTGAAGTTATGGTCACTGGCCTTCAAAAGTTGTGAAACTAATTAAGCCAGTTAGTTTAGGGAGCAAGGAATAGCCTGATCCACAATTTGGCACTGTCAAGCCATGTTCATAAATCCTTAATTGAAAGGTCAGATACAATTCTGAGAAAGCTTGTTGATAGAGGAGATTTTAAGGTAGGGGCAAGAAGCTGGAGAAACCTGGGAAGGGATGGTGTGTCGATTAGATGGGGAGGGGTGTGGACCATTTCTAGGAGGTCTGATCAGCATATGTATAGGCAGAAAGTTAGGTATAATCACAGTAGGGGCAGTATTAGGGACAAGGGGAGCTGGTGACTGCGTGTATACTGCGTAGCAGTCAAAAGCTGCAAGACACAACAAAGGGCCAGATCATCAAAGTTAAGAGACAGCCTGTGGAATAGGCAAGACAATTTGCAAACTCTTCATGTGACAAAAGATTAATATTCAGAATATATAAGAAACCCAACAGTAAAAACTGTGAAAATACTATTAAGAATGAACAAATAATCTGAATAGAGAGTTTTCGTTAAGTAGCTACACTGATGGCCGACAAGTGCATAGTCTTGTATCACTAATCATTAGAGAAACACAAACCAATACCACAAAGAGGGATCTTCACCCTAGCCTAAATAGATATTACAAAAAGCATAAAAAAGTTCAAAAAAATCTGTACAAACTATGGTGTGACTAGGGTGGAAGTGGACTCTCTTCTGCCAACACTACCATCAGTCATTGTAGAAAAGACTGTGGAGATTCTTCAAGCAAACTACAGCTAGAGCTTCCACATGACCCAGCAAGTCTATTTGTTGTATTTTCAAAGGAAAGAAAGTTATTTACTAATGTTAGAGCACACTTAGAACCTAGGAGAGAAAGAGTACACTGTAGTCTTAGTCTGGAAAGTGGGTGGTATCAGCGTGTTACGGCTGCTCCACTATGGGCGAGAGTGGGAACCGGAGGCTCAGGATGATAAATGAAAAGAAGGCCACAGTTTAACTGCTAAGAAAAAAAAAAAATCACAAAAACCAAAACCTTTCAAGATAATCCTGTCTTCTTAACCACATGAACTGATGGAAAATACTTCATTTGGCCTTAGTTATGCTTTGGCAATACCGAGATAGATTTATTTTTTGTAATAGTGTTAAGAACAATCAAAGATTCAGTAACTGATTTCACATCATAACATCCCAAGATAGTGTAAAAACGAGAAAATCATTGATTAATAATGATAAATTCCTGTCACTATTCAAAATTTACTTTCCTTCTGCTTTTAGTAAAACATAAAAAAGTAAACATCTCTTAATAATTCTATCAAACATCACTTGTCAGACTACTCTTTTTCCAGCCTCCAGGTATCTGTATTTGAATCTTAAGACATCTGTTATCTTAAGCTTTCCTGTCTCAAACTAAATCCCTCTTTCTAAGCATCTAAAAATTATGACAGCACTGATCCCCCAAGAATTATGGCTGAAATATCTGTTATACTCTTGAAATGAATAATTCCTGACATTTCTAAGTATCATCGTCTAAATTCCTCTATCTCCTCTGCCATTGTCCTTCTTAGGTCACCTCTGCTTGGGGAGATGAAAATAGAGTCAGCCACCTGTCCCTGTTGGCTGTGTCTTGGTCATCCAATCCCTTTGTCAGTGTTGTCAGACGATGACTGCTATGATGGCGACTTCATCACATCCTTCCCTACTTCCTGACCTAGAGGTCAGGAAATACAAGATGCATCTATTTTAAGCAGCTCTTCAAATTATTTAGTGCTGCATACCTAAGTACCACACAATTTATCAGTTTAGAATAATAAACATTCACTATACTTCAGAGTGTGGCGTGGACCAGGAATTCAGATGCAGCTGGGCTACGTGGCTTTGGCTTAGAGCTATCTGTGGGGTTATAAACTAGATGTTGATCCTGGCTTCAGTTGCCTAAAGATTTCAGTGTGCCTGGATGATTGACTTCAAATGTTCAGTCCCATGGTTGTCTTTCGGTGCGTGGGTTTGATTTCTCTTTACCTAGGCATCTCTCTGGGGTGGCTTGGGTGTCCTCACAACTTGAATGCTCCCTTACCCCGAGAGATGTGCAGGAGGGCCAGGAAGAGTGCAGCTAAGTCCTTTCCGTGTCTCTTCAAGTCTCATAGCATCAGTTCTGCTCCATCCTGTGGTTAGAAAGAAACTTGAAGTCTGACCCACCTTGCAGAGGGGGGAACTAAGCATTACCTTTGGAAGGAGGACCGTCAAATAATTTCCAGACCTATTTTAAAACTATGGTAATCTTAGCTACAATTTGCAGTAGTCTGCTCAGTGTAATTTTCTGCAGTCTTCAGCACCCCTTGAGGTAAAATACCTTTCAATTTAAAGCAGTCAGTCCCATTGTTGTTATTCATCCCCTGTGTTTTTAGGCTTTTGAATGTTGTAGAGTATATTTATTGTACTGCTATAGAAGTGCCATCAATTGCAATTATTATAAACTGTACTTATTTTCTTCTTTCACTCTTTCAGAATATGTTCCAATCAGGCTAGTCTTCTCATTTTTTCAGTGTTTGTTGTTGCTATTTTTCCCTTCATGACTTTCTGAGATCATTCCTGTCTCCTTCATTTTCTCTTTCTAAACCCCCAATATTTTGAAAGACAAACTCAGGTCTTATCAGTGAAGAGTTGAATATCATGTGTAGTGTCTTAGTCCTTTTCTGTTGCTAATAGCACAAGGCCACCATAGGGAAGTTTTAAAGGGTAGGTATTCATTGCAGCACGGGTGCAGGAGGTGCAAGGTCAAGGGCTCACATGGATGAATGACCTGCGTGATGGCAGAGGCTTGAGGCCATGAATGGCATTACAGGGCGAGAGTCAGACAGCTTGCCTGTGCAGATTAATAGCATCTGGTCTCCCTCCTCCTTCTTGTGAAAGCCAGGAGCAATCAATCTTGGGGGCTTGCCCTGAGGACTCTGTCTAATCCTTGTTACATGCCAAAGGCCCCACCGCTGATCACCAGTCTAAAGAGGTTTTGTCCTCTTAAACACTTCAAGGTGGGGATGCAACTCCAACACGAGTTTCAGAAGACAAAAACTGCTTGACAGGTATCACATGACTAGTCTCAGCTCTGAAAGCTCAGACACATATATTTTTCTTACCTCATTGCAATTTCATATAGTTTTGCACCCTAAGCTTAAATTAACTCCCAGTATAAGCTGTCATGGAAGATACTCATTAAAATTTGATGAATGAGTGAGTGAATACTATATTGAACATTATTAATGGTTATGTTACACAGTTATCCAAGGTACTAATTCAATATTTTAACAAAACAAAATTAATCATTTGTTTAATGTTCTTTTTTGCAATAAATTTTAGAAATCTTCCTTATCTTTCATATATTTTAATTTTTATTCTTCTTTCATTGGAAATACTTGAGATGCAGTCTAAAGACTTCACAAAACATGTCAGGGCTGGTGAGATAGCTAGAAGATTAAAGTGCCTACTTATTTGTTTCCGCTGTTTTCTGAAGGTGTGAGTTCACCACCACGAATTTCCCTCTGAGAACTGCTTTCATTGCATCCCACAAATTCTGATAAGTTGTACTTGAATTTTCATTGAATTGTAGATATTTAATTTCTTATTTAATTTTATCTGTAACCCATTGGTTGCTGAGGAGGATGTTGTTTCATTTCCATATATTTACAGGGGTTTTGTGGTTTCTTTTTTCATTTACTTCCAGTTTCATTGCACTGTGGTCAGATAATATGCATGGGATAATTTCTGTTTTCTTGTATATACTTAAGCATGACATATGGACTAGTATGAGGTTTATTATAGAAAATGTCACATGTGAAGCTTAAAAAATATGTATTCAGCTGTGGTTGAGTGGAATACTCTGTATGTGTCCACTAAGTCCATTTGGTACAAATTCTGGTTCAGTTCTGCTACTTCTTTGCTGATTCTTTGTTTGACCTATCTTTTTGGGATAAGGGTGTGTTAAGATCTCCTGTTAAGATTGTGGTATTGGATATTAGATTTTTCATGTGCATTAAGATTTGTCTTATATAGTTGGGCATACATATTTATGACTGTTACCTCTTCCTCTTGTATTTTTCCCCTAACCAGTATGTATTGGCCTCTACATGGTTCCAGGGTAAATCCTGAGGGGATTTGACTGAAGTTATCAAATAACAAAAGTTACATTTTTGTTATATAGGTCTTGCTTTAACTTGGTCTTAACCATCCAGCAGAAAAGTATAACCATGAGGTGTAAAGTGTAAAGCTATATTAATATGCTGAGTTATAAAAGGTTCACATTAACAACTTCAGACAATTGCCAACTGTGCTAGTAACTCACTACTATTGTGGACTATTGCACTATATTGTGTTATTT